CTCGCCAGTTTGGCCTTTTTGAAGATACCAACCCATGGGAGACCCATGCCAAAGATGGAAAAATTATGCCAAAATAATCGAGCAGGCATGCTGAGTTGGACTATGATTCTGCAGGTAAATGGGAAGTTGGGGACTCATTGCCTCCCAGGCACATCACACACCCTAGTGCATCCCTAAGAGCGAGCCATTCCGCTCTTCATAGTGGTTTAATATTAGCGTCTCAGACGCCAATGACCAAAGGCCAGCTTGCCATTGAGCTGTCTGCCCCGAAACCCATAGCTTTCAAGATGAAAAATGAATCTGCCAGGGAGCTGACAGCAGAGCTGACTCTCTGCTCTGGGGAATGAATTCAGGACTTCAAGCTTGCCAGGCAGGCGCTCTACCACTTCCCAAGCCTTCATGAATAAATTTTAAACATGCACATAGTAGTGTACTGATAGTCCTGGAGTTGGGTATAAAACTGATTCACGTTCCCTGCATACTGTATTTCAAATTTTGAATTTTTCTATTCCCAGGTTATTTCCTGGCCCTTGCCTTGAATCATGGTGAGCAGGTTTGAGCTCCAGTTTCAGCCACCTGCGTGATCATGAGGAAACCAATTCGGTAGAATGTAATGGGTGGCCAGCTCAGAGATAAAATTCAGGACTTAAATCCTGAGGTTTTAAATTCCGTTTTTACTTTTTGTTGTTATTTCTTGACTTTAAAAAATACTCTTCTGATTGAATCACACAATATATTTATTTAAAAAATACTACTGTTTCATTTGTGAGAGGGTCTTACTATGTCAACCAGGTCTTAGCACTTACCATCCTATCTGTGATTTATTGGGATTACACACCTGTGTCACCTTCCCCACACACTTCAGACTTTTGAAAGTACACCTCCGAAGGATCACAGGAAACTAAATCCACTTTTATTTCAAGGGCATATCTATAATGTTGCGAGTACACAATTACATGTTAATCATTAAAAATGTTGGGAACAGAGTTTCAGATGAGTATACATGTAATGATATGAAATACTAAGGAAGAGTCAGAGCAAATGAAATACTCAATCCAACCAGGGTGGAGTTAGAAATAATCAGATCACACTTGATTGTATTACCTTGATGGTTTTATGGCGGATGGATATCCTAGGGTTTTGTGGCAGTATAAAGCCCAGTAGGAGAAGGTATCAATCCCTTAGTTCACGTCTGCATTGATCATCCCGCCACTATCTCCAGTGGCATTTGTGCTCTGCACCATACTTGATTTTCTTCAGACAGGCCGAAAACAACAGGTTATTTTACATTGCTACTTGTAGGCCATGCTTTTTTCCAATAGGAAAAACAGTATAGTGGGAGAAACTGTAGTGGTTGAACTAGCTGTTGAGGCAAGAATGGGTTAGTTGCGTAATAGTATTTCCTGGCAAAGAAGTTGATTAAAATGTTTTTGAAATGTTAATTACTAGGAATAGGGCAAAATGTCCAAGGACTGATCACCCTGATTTGTGTGTGTCAGTGGATGAGCAGAGACCTGGTGCCTTTGAGAGAATTTTTAAAGTGTTTTTTAAGTGTTTTTTTCCACTTATACTTTATTTCAGGTATTTTGGCAATTGTTAGGAGCCAGTTAATATTAGTACCTTGAGCCTGAATTTACAGGTAAAGGAATGAAAATCTTAGCTGTGAGCTAGCTCCCTGTTTGGTGTTGGAGGCAAAAGGATTCTGTCCTTAAATTTGGAGGTGAATGGCATTAAGCCACAGTCCCAGTCAGTCACGTGATCACAGGGAATATAATCCGCAGGGCACTGAGTTGATGGAAGTACAGTATTCAGTAGGTTTTGTGTTTTAAATTATTTTTTCTTAACATTTTTTCTTTATTTTAATCATTTTCTTTCATCCTTCCTTCCATCCTTCCTTGCTTCCTTCCTTCCTTTCCTCCCTCCCTCCTTTTCTCTCTCTCTCTTATTCTCTTTCTATTATGGTTTCAGTATGTAAACCAGTCTGTCCTGTAATTCACCATGCCCCGCACCTCAGTCTCCTGAGTGTTGGGGTTGCAGGAGTGTGCACTCACTCCTGGCATATTTTCTGATTTTTGACCTCTCACCTTCATAAGATTATTGGGCGGTAAATCCAGTTTAAGTTCAAAGGCATCTTTATATTGTTGAGCGTGAGTAGTAATTGTGTGATACCCTTTGAAAAATGCGAAGGGAACACTCCAAATTATAGTAGTTTTAGATACATGTATATATAATGAAATGGAAATACGAAGAAACACAAGAAGAAATACTCAATCAAATCTGGGTGGAGTTAGAGATAATTCGGTCACACTTGATTGCATTAACTTGACTGTTCATGGCGGATGGATATCCTGGTGGTCCTGTGATGGCCGTATAAAGTCCAGTAGGAGAAGATACCAGTCCCTCAATTCATCCCTGCATTCATCATCCTGGAGCCCTCACTGTCTCCAGTGGCGTTTGTGCTCTGCACCACACTCGAGTGTCTTCAGACAGGCCGAAAATAACAGGTTATTTTCCATTATCGTTGTGGGCATTCTTTTATCCCAGTAGGAATACCAGAGTGTGGAAGAAATTGCAATGGGAAAATTTAGCTGTTGACGCAAGAATAGGTTATTTAAAACTGTTTCTTAGCAAAGAGTCTGATTATAAATATTTTTGAAATGTTAATTACTAGGAAAAGGGCAAAATTTGCAAGGACTGGTCACCCTGATTTGTGTGTTTTAGTGGATGAGCAGAGACCTGGTGCCTTTGAGAGAATTTCAAGATTTTAAGTGTTTTGTGTCCATTTATACTTTGTTTCAATGTAATCACTGACAGTTGCTAGAAGCCAGTTAATATTAGTGTCCTGAGCCTGAATTTACAGGTAAAGGAAAACAAGATGTTAGCTGTGAGCTCCAGTTCAGTAGTGGAGGCAAAAAGATTCCACCCTTAATCATGGTGGGGAATGAATGTCACTGAGCCACAGTCCCCAACGACGTAATCCCAGGGAAACATAACCTATGCTCTGTAGTGCTCTTAGTTGCTTAAACTACAGTATTCAGTAAGTTATGTGTTGTAAATTATTTTTTTCTTAACATTTGTTCTGCTTTTTCCTCGTTTTTTTCTTTCTCTTTCCTTTCTTCTTTCCCCTTCTCTCCCTTCCTGATCCTTCTCTTCCTTTCCTTTCATCTCTCCTCTCTTTTCCTTCACTGTCTCCCCTCCTTCCTTTCACTCCTTTCCTTTTCCTTGTTCCTGCTCCCTTCTCTTTCCATTTTTTCTCTCTTTCCTTTCCATAGGGTTTCACTGTGTAAACCAGGCTGTCTTGTAATTCACCATACTTCCCTGTTAGTCTCCTGAGCATTGGGGTTACAAGAGGGTGCCAACTTCCTGGCATAGTTTTGACTTTTGACCTTTCACCTTCAAAGGATTACTGGGTGGGAAATCCAGTTTAAGTTCATGTCATCTATATATTGTTGAGTGTATGTAGAAATTAAATGTTAACCATTTAATATTGTTTGGAATAGAAAACACCAAAGTATAATAGTTTGTGGTGCATATGTACTCAATGAAATAAAAGTCCTATGCAAGAAAAACAGCAAAAAATTCAATTAAAGCCAGGTAGAGTTGGAGAAAATCCCATCACATTTGACTGGATTTCCTTGATTGTTCTATGGCTGGTATAAAGTCCAGTATGAGAATGTACTAATCCCTCAGTTCATCTCTGCATTTATCATTCCGGAGCTCTCAATGTCTCCAGTGGATTTGTGCTTTGCACCATACCTGAGCCACTTCAGACAAGCCATAAACAGCAGGTTATATTTCCATTGCTATTATGGGTCTTTAAAAAAATATCCCAATAGGAAAAACAGGAGTGTGGAAGAAAGTGTAGTGGGTGATTTTGCTGTTGAGGCAAGAACAGGTTAGTTGTGTAATACTATTTCTTAGCAAAGAGCCTGATTAATAATATTTTCAAATCCTGATTACCAAAGACTGTTCACCCTTATGTGTGTGTTAGTGGACTGAGGTGGGAGGATGGTAAATTATAAGACAGTCTGGTTTACATGGTTAGACCCTGTCTCAAAAAAAAAAAACCCAACAAAACAAAGCAAACAAAAACAAAGAAAAAACAAGGAGAACAAATTGTTAAAGAAGGAATCTAAAACACAAAACCTACTGAATACTACATCTTAGCAACCCAGCGCACTACAGAGTACCAGTTATCTTCCCTTATGACCATGTAATGGACTGGGACTGAGAGAATTCCAAGATTTTAAGTGTTTTGTCCACCTATATTTTGTTACAATTAACTTTTGACAATTGCTGGTAGCCAGTTAGTATAAGTGTCCTGAGCCTGAATTTACAGGTAAAGGAAAGTAAGACCTTAGCTGTGAGCTCCATCCAGTTCAGTGGTGGAGGCAAAAAGATTCTAACCTTAAACATGGTGGCGAATGTCACTGAGCAACAGTCCCAGTCAACCATGTGATCACAGGGACTATAACCTATAATCTGTATTGTACTGGGTTGCTTAAAGTACAGTATTAAGTAAGTTACGTGTTTTTATTATTTTTTCTTAACATTTTGTTCTCTTCTTTTACTCTTTGTTTTTTGTTTTCTTTCTTCTTTTTCTTATTTTTTTTTCTTTTCTCAACATTTTCAACTTGGGATTCTTTTTACATTGTATGTTCTTGGATCCAATATCAACATCAGTTTTCCCAAGTGTTCTATGGTATATTATAAAGGTCTCTGAAAAGGAAATCAGAATTTCATATGCATCAATTATGTGAAGTCTAGCAAACAAATTGTTTTTATATATCACCTTATTTTTCACTCATATGGATATCATGTTATTGGTAGGAGAAGTATTAAAAGAAGCACTTTTAATGAAAGGATAATAGCTGATAATATGGGCACAGAAGACAAATGGGGGCTGACTGCATGTGGGGAATTTTAGGAATATGGAGAGTTGGTGGGATTCATTTTCTATTCTCCACAGGGATACAGAACCCTTGGACAGCACTACAGTCATGGACCCCAACACTCTGTCAATGGAACAAGGGAAGGAGTTATTAAAATTGTGTGGCATCCCACAAAGAGATGTAAGTATGGAGATGCAGATGTAGGTGGAACAAGGTGGATCAAACTGGAACATCTTTGAGGCAGGTTTACCTCCATTGGCCAAGGTTTCCTGCCTTAATACACAGGCACTGACTAATTAAATTGGGTATGCAATCCTTTAGGATATGCAATTCCTAGGGCTGGTTAGCTTCCACTAGGGAACACCAGTGTTTCCCTAATATTCTCAACTTTCCTTCTTTGGTACCATTTGGAGTTCAATAGTCAATACATTATGGCCTGGGGAGTAATTCCTCTTCCTTTCTGCAGAACTCAGACTGTATCTTGCTCCTCTTTTCTCTTCATCAGATTGATTTGATGACAGAGAAGTGGGTCGTTGTTGCCTCTGTTGAGGTTCTGCTGAGATTTCCTCTGATGCCAGGGGAGGACCCGGGAGCCCGCTGTGTCTCAAATAAAAAACATCAGATTGTAGTGAACCAGCTCCACACATTCTCACAAAGACCTGGAGATCAAGAGGAGAGGTTGGATATGTCTGGAGAAGTGTGGGTATAATCTGGAGGGATTCTACAGATTGCTCCAGGGGCACAGTTGTGGTCTGTAGATTCTGTGTGAACATGTCTGGAGGCTTCTATCTTCTGTGTTCCTTACTACAACTTTTATTTGCAAGTTATCTGGTGTGATTTCACACCTACATTTGGCATGCACAGGCATCTACAGTTTGCTTGTCCTGATGTAGCTTTGTGCTGGTCTCCATGTGAAAACTGGCATGTGGTTATGGGGTTTGCATGAAATATCACCAGTGCTCCTTAGATCACATATCAAAGCTTTGCAATGCTTTGTCATATCTGGCTGTTGTTTTAAGTAGCAATTTTGGAAAAATAGTGAGTTTTATAGAAGTCTGTGGGGAAAAATCAATAGGTGTTAGCTGCTTATCTATTGGCTTTGATAAATATGTTAGAGGCATTGAGTTTGTAGGGAGATGATAGGCAAATCCCAGAACCCAGAAAGCTTTTGTGCAAGATCACAAATCTAAATTCACCCATCTATAAACCAAGTGGTCTTTTCTCAAGAAGTGTCCTGTTCTGGGGGTGGGTAGATGCAGGCAGAAGATGCCAGAATGGGACATCACTTTTGAGAATACTGAAATATTCATAGTTAAAGAATCCCTTCTATCCTTTCTTGGGAATAGGGCATTTATTTTGTCTTGTGTTTATGTAAATTTGTTTGTGCTTTTTTATTAACTAGGAAAATCAACAATCATTTAATGAGTAAGGCTGACCAGAAACCCAAGGATGTGAAGCAGACATCAGGTCACTTGATGCCTCAAAAACCCACTGAAGAAAAGAACCCAAAGAAGAAACAGAGCAGAACTGTGAGGCCAAGGGCATCCCCACAAGAGGAGGAGTATACCATGGTCAGTTGAGACTCAGGACATTTAAGAAACAAGGGGTCTGTGCAGACCCTAGAGAGTGGGTTTAAACTTGGGATTTCTGTGTCTATTTCTTGATCTTTCTCATCTGAATCTACCTGGTTTGGGTTTTCTTTACCTGGATGGTTGTCCTCTTCCAAGCCTCTAACGAGGAGCTCGGTTCCCTGTTTAGTGTTGTGTGCAGCTTGGTGTTTTTCTGGTATACAACCACTAGTTCATTATCATCATCTGTAAACACAAAGTTCTTCCTCCTTGGATGCCTCTGTGAAGCAGGACTTGGTAAGGACCATAATATCTTGAATTTCCCAGCAACTAGTAGGTCATGAATCTAGGTTCTTGTCTCAAACTGATACCCAATCCCAAATCTGTTCTTGTGATAGGTTTTAAATTCATCTGAGATTGCTAATGACTTAGTGGTCATCCATTTTGTACCCACAGGTAAAATGCAAGAATTGTGGAGCCTTTGGGCACAACACAAGGAGCAAGAGGTGCCCCATGAAATGCTGGGACCAAACCCTTTCCTTCCAGCCATTAAGCTCAAATAAGTTCAAGGAGAACCTAAAGCCAAGGAAGTCCTACCAGTTCCAGAACTCAGGCCCCTGTAACAAGGCTGACAGAGTAAAAGATCAAAGACCAAGGTGAGGATCTCACAGGGTGAGAGTGGCCCTTGAGCACTGGAACGTGAGGAGCAGTGTCTCCCCTCTGTTTGTTATATATAGCCATCTCTAGGCACATACAAGAAACACAAGAGAAAAATAGACAAGGGCTCTACCTCCAGGAGTGGAGTTCACAGTTTATTTTATGTTCAGATTTACTAAATGTTTAGGGGACTGTGTAATATCTTGGAGCTGCCCATGGCAGATAGTGCAGCAATAATCTAAATGAAAGTAGATTTCAGATGTTGATGGCTCATGCCTGTATTCCTGGCTACTCAGGGGGCAGAGATCATTTGGATCAAGATTCAAAGCCATCCCAGGCAAATACTTTGCAACACCCTGTCTTGAAAAAAACCCAACACAAAACAGGGCTGGTCGATTGGCTCAAGAGGTAGAGTGCCTGCCTAGCAAGTGTTAGATTCTGAGTTCCAGTCCCCATAATACACAAAGTAGGTGATGCTGAGACCTCAGCATAGAAGGCATAGGATAAGATAACAAAGTTCTTCGGAGCTTCAAAGCTTCCTTCATTTCCAAAGGAGGGCTAGGGCTAGTTGCAGGATTTCTCTTGGCTACCTGTCACTGGTGTGGACAGAAAGCTCAGACATATCCAGGCAGTTAACATGATATGTCCTGCAGGCAAGAAGAACACCAGCAAAAAGCTCTACCACAGAAATTTCCCAAGAAGTCCCCCAAGAATGTGCAGAGGACCTGGGCAGACTTGACAAAACATTGTGCCTTTCTGAGGGTGAGTTGGCCTGCTTTCCTGCTCCATTTTTCTTCTGGATTTCTGGTCCTTATGTGGGGTTTATTTTCCTGAACCAGCCTATAGGATTCCTATTGTATTTTTACATTTTATTCTTTTTCTGTTTTGGCAGTACTGGAGTTTGAACTCAGAGTCTTGGGCTTGCAGAGCGCAAGAACTCTATCACTTGAACAACCCCCAGCTCTTTTTGCTTTAGAACTTTTTTTCAGGTGTCATCTCATGTTTTAGTCTGGGCTAGCATCAGGCTACATTCTTCCTATCTTTGCTTCCTGAACAGCTTGGGTTACAAGTGTGTTGAGATGGGATCTTTCTTTTTGCTTCGAATGACAGGTGTGAGCCTCTGCTCCTGGCCTTTTTTTTTGAGACAGGGTTTTATTATATTGTCTAGTCTATCCTCAAACACATTGTCTTCCTGTCTCTGCCTCCAAGTTCTGGGATCAGATCACAGGTGTGTGCACCATGGCCAGCTGTGTATTTCCTTATTTAAATATGTTAGTTTTTGCAAGTTGGCTGGCAATTGCCCATGGGAGCATATTTGGGCATGGACGAATTGTGTTTTATCAAATGCTCTGTATGATACTATATTCAGACAAGACATTATTCCCATTTATATTAAAACTCCCAAATTGCCCTTCAAGAGAATACTTGTCACTTTCATTCTCTGGATTCTGTGATCCCACACAGAATGTTTTGCTTCTTTGAGTTTAACAACAGAAAAATGTCCTGAAATTTTTAGTTGATAGACAATATAACTATTAAGTTTGTAGCCAAAAAACATTAGGGTCATATTGTATTTTTTCCCTAATCACCCCTGAGGTGAGAATTATTGCAAATGTACTGTGACCATTTGTGTGGTTCTCTATGAATTTTATAATCATATACTATCTCTTTATATTAAGGTGTCATTCCTTTCATCCTTGTTTAGAAGTTATCCTAATGTATTTATTTTACTGGTATACATATCTTCCATTTCCTTTGTCCTAACCTGCTAATTATTTTCACATGCTTGAAAATAATCCCTGCACAGCTGGGATTACAGGTGTGTCTCACGAGAATTATGTGTTGAGATGGGATCTTTCTTTTTGCTTGGGATGACAGGTATAAACCTCTGCTTTTAGAAATGCTTGAATATGCCAGATATTTTGACTTCTTAGGTGTGTAACATGAGTTTTCCTATTTCACAGCAACCTATCAGGCCATTGCCTGTTCAAACAACCAAGAAGGGACCTGCCCTGGGTCCTGCTCTTACAGGTCCAGTGCCTGCCAAGAAACCTGATACAAAATCATTCTGTCCTACATGGTCTTCTAATAAAAGGCCTGAACCGAGCACTTGTGGACCAGCCAGAGGACATGACGTGGATGTCCTTGATTCACCCTACTCCGTGTTAAAGAACATCTGCAGGGACCCTTCTCTCAGCTCTAAGAGGACTGTCAACAAGTCTGGGGGTTTCTCTCATGAGGTTCCCCACCCTGTCATGAAGACACCTGCTGCAGATCATGTCTTTAACACCTGGGCACACATCAAACATCCTTATGTGGATTCAAAGCCCAGTCCACAGCCAGTCAGTCAAAAGTGTGGCTCAGAGTTCAAAGGCAGAATCCAGGCACCAGGCAAGAGATCCATTCAGGTCCCCAATCAGCCTTGCCAGAACCAACCAAAGAAAGCACGACTTAGTTCCTTTTCTACCCTCCAGGTGAAAACTCAGTTACCTGACCTGGGCACTGTCTACATTTCTCAGCCTCTCCCAAGTACAAGTGGACTTAGTCCCAAACAGGCACCCAAGGTGACCACAAAGACACCAACTTTGAATCCTAGCATCCACAACAAGCCTCTGCCTTGCTCTCCTTACTTGCTCCAAGCCCAGGCTGTTGTCCAGCCTCTGCTGTCCAGCCATGTTCCAGGAAAGCCAGACAAAATTGGCTCCATGGGATCAGACAAGGGATGGCAAAACTCCAAGATCAGAATGACTCCCACATCCAATCCTCCTGAAAAGTGCACAAGTGCTGGTCAGAGCCCTCACATCTTAAAGGAGTCTGAAGGACTGGCTCCCCATGTCCCAAGGAGTGTCCTCTATGAGGACCTTATGGTGTCATCTTCTTCTGAGGACAGTGATTGGGAATGAGACCCTCTCCCACAGTGAAAAAGACTCAGCCTCAAGTCTCACATGGCTTGGAAGTGACTGAATAACTGAGGAGGGGAAGAAGCAGGGAACAGCTATGTCCCAGGAATCAGTGCTTCAGTGTGCCAATGATGAAACCCCCAAAATATTGGGGATCAATGGACTGACACTATTTAAATTTTGCAAATTTAAGATGAATTTAAACTATGGCTTATGAAACTGTCATATAAAGACTTTTGTAAATTAGACATTAATATGAGAAAATAAGTCAGCATAAGATAATACTACTTTATAATATCAGTAGAAAGCTGTGACATTTACCTGTATGTGTGAGTAAATGATTGAAATTTGGGTAACTCCAAGAACTAACCCCTTCTGTGGGTGACATGAAATGTTTCAGTGTCGTCTGGAATCCAGAAATTTCGACTCTGAGTAGGATCTTAATGGGAAGCTTTCTTAGTCTTGTGCAAATGGAGAATATTCTTTTCTCTGGAGCAACTTGGTTTTAATTGGTGAAGTTAAATACTTTAACTGTTCTTTCTGTGTTCTATGAATGTTTCTGGAGTATTGCAAACAGAACAACTCAATTTATTTAATGAAAAACTGCTGAGACGAGATAGTGTCTGAATTCATCTGTACAGTGTGGTAGCAACCTTCCCAGGGTTGGAATAATTAAAGTTTTAAGTGAATTATTAACGCACTTAAATAATTAATGGCACATGATCAGTAATTGGTATATAACTGTAATTATCAAACACAAGGAGACATTAGACTAATCTTAATTTTAAAAACCTTTTAAATTATTAGGAATATTTTTAGGATTGTACATTTTGTTATTGAAAGTCATTACTATGAAGTTAAGTTTGGTTCATTTCTTTCACTATTAATAAATTTTTCTGAACTATGAGATGTTGAACTGGTGTTTTTATTTTTTACTTTTACTAAAGTTTCCATCTAATATAGTAATACCTTGTGTAACAACATCTATACAGTGTTTTAAGTATAATTGATTTTTTTGACATTCCAATTTTCCTTTTTTATTATTTTTTAATAGCTTTCTTATTACCATATTATTGTTGTACTGGGGGTACAATGTAACATTTACAAAAGGTCTTAACAATATTTCATAGTTGAATTCACTCATTCCATCACTCTCCTTTATCCTCTCTTCCCCCACTCCTAGAATAGTTTTAACAGTCTCATTTTTTCATTTTCATACATATGTACATAACACTTCTGCCACGTTCACCCCTCGACAACCTTTCCTTATATCCTCCCCCTCCCACTGGTACCAACTCCCCAGATAGGACCTTTTTACCTTCCTGTTCTCTGCCTTTGAAAAAAAGACATTTTAGTTTGTTTAAGATAGCTATGCAGGGAGTGTCACTGTGACATTTCCATGTATATAAATATTATAACCTGAATTGATTCAGACCCTCCATTTTTCTCCTTTCTACCTTAGTCCCTTCTTATGGTGATTTCAACCGGCTTAAAAATTCTATATTCATTCTTGTATAGAAAGTACATCAATCATATTTACCTTCTTAATTTCTTCCTTTTACCCTCCCTCCCTTCTTAGTGACCCCTCCTTAGCGTGACCTATTTTTCATAATATTGCTTGTAATTGTATTGGGTCTATATTTCATATATGAGAGAAAACATGCAGCTTTTAGCTTTTCTGAACATGGCTAACTTCACTTAAGATGCTGTTCTCCATTAACTGGTGTTTTTTATTTTTGGTCAACTTCCTTTTTGTAAGATGACAAAGGGAGCTGAGTTTAGTTTTGGCACTTTATGTTAGAATAAAGCACATACCTCTTCAAAAGTGCATGTTTTTAAGCAAGGAGTGGTGGTGTAGCCTGTAGTGTTGTAATAGGGAGTCGAAGGAAGAGGCCAGTTCAAGCCACCTGGGATCCATAACAGGACACTGTTTCAAAGAAAAACAAAAGAAACCACTACTTGTTCTCTTGGTAGGTCTAATAAACATCAGTATTTCAAATGTGCCAAGCATGAGTAGTGTTTCATGGTATCTACAACAATCATGATGTGATAGAATAATATCTGATTTGTCTTGGTGAGAAATCATGATAAAATAAATACCACTATGTTTGGTTGTCTTCATTTGGTGAAAGAAAGCTAAAAGTTTCCAATAGAAGCTACTTTTTTTCCTGTTGAAATTCATGGACTCCCTATATTTTATCAAGGACTTTTTTGAGGGTCTGTGAACTCATGGTTAAGAATGTCTGCACCTTTTGTTTTATTTTTAACTTACTGTCATTTCTATATATATTTTTGTGGTATTCCATTATTTTCATCCTTTATTTTATTTATTTGACAAAAATAACCTTGATACATTTAGCATCATCCACCGGCCTCTTTCTAGTTAGAAACAAATTCTCCAGCACAAACCAACCCTACTGTGTCAGAATCTGCAGTTTAGTAGCAACTCCAGGTGTTTCCTATATAGGTTAGAGTGTGATAAATATGACAATAGGCTGTTCTCACTTTGGTTGTACAGCAGAATCATAAGGTTTTGAGCTGTATGTATTTTAATTTTATTAGTATACTTTAGTTTTACAGGAGGTTTCATTGTCATACTTATGTAATATATGTTTACAATATACCTTCATTAGATTAATTCCCTCCATCTTTCTCCTACTCCCCTACCCCCTACTTAATTTCAACAGGTTTAATTGTTCTGTTTTCATACAAGTATATAAAGTATATCAACCACATTTCTTTCTTCACCCTCTCCATTTACCCTTCCCACTACCACTAATAGTCCATCCCCTCAGAGGACCTATTTTACTTTCCAGTCTTTCATTTTTCAAGTATATATATTCATTTTTCAAGCGGTTTTATTGTTTGGCCGGTGGGCAGCCACCCCATGGCGATCAGGGACTCTCTGCTCGACTTTCCACTCCATCCTCTCCTTCCTTTCATGGTTACCACGGCAACTCCAGGGCACAATTATTATGGTGCACAGCAATTAGAGGCTTCATGGTTACCATGGCAACCCCCCCCCATGGTGATTAGAGACTTCCCTTTCACCCTCCTCCTTCCTCTTCCCCTCTAATTACCATGGCAACTCCTGCTGGCGGGCAATGGGTCCTGACCTATCCTACAGATCCATATTACCCTGAGCTCCTCCCCACCAAACCTCGACCTATCCCGACGCCCCATAATACCTTGAGCTCTTGACTTCACCCAGGCTATAAAAACTGGGCTGCCATTTCTCCAGCGTGACTTCTCCGGCCCTGTTCTTTGGGGACAGTGAACCTTGCCCAAGAGCACGCTCTCAGTAAAGCCTGCTTGCTTTGTTATTTGGCTCCAGTTTGGCCTTCCCATCAGCGTCGACCTAACATTTGGTGCCAAAACACGGGAGGAAGCAAGCCTCACCAGACTCCAGGCGGGCGGGGCCCTGGGTCAGGCCCTGGCTTGAGGCCCTTCCTCCTCTCTGGATCGACACTCCGGCTCCCGCTTGGGTGAATCTCCTCCCCCATTTTGTTCCTCCTTGGGCCCCCTGTCCTAGTCGCGGCCGCGCCAGGATCAGCTCCTCCGCTTCTCCTCACACCTGGGCATTCGGAGAGATGTCTTCCCTGTCCAGGCTGCCTCCTCCGAACCGGTCTCCTCTTTTAGTGAGGGATGCTTCTCTAAAGGTTGAGACCTCCAACAATTCGGGGGTGGGGTCCTCCCAATCCAAGCCAGACTCAGGGACTCCCTTGTCCTGTCTTCTCTCAAACTTCAAAATTTGGGACTCTCTCCAGACCTCCGCTACGAGCAGCTCATTTTCTACTGCACCATGGCATGGCCACAGTACACCTTAAACAATAACTCAAAATGGCCTCCTCAGGGCACTTTTGATTTTAATATCCTCACTGATCTTCACAGTTTTTTGCCATCAAACCCATAGATGGTCTGAGGTTCCATATGTACAGGCCTTCTGAGAACTGCGCTCTCGCCCCTCTCTGTGCCTCCAATGTTCCCCCTCCCAGATCCTTCTAACGCCTAATTCTTCTGGGTCCCCTCCCCCATACCCCAACCCTTCTCCTTTATCTGAATCCACTGAATTCCTCCCCCTCCCCCCCACCGACCATAGCCACCCTTATCGTCACATCCAGCTCCCCTTCCCCTCCCCTCCCCCCACCCACAGAACCTTCCCCACCCAAGCAGCCATCTCCTTTGGCCTTGCCTCCCACACCCTCTGCTCCACCTACTCCCTGCCCTCCTACATCCCCAATAGCCTCCCACACTTGCTCCACCGCCCTTCCACACTTCCTCTTCTTTGTCCTCTCCAAGAGGTGAGGACATGTCCATATCCAAGTTCATGTTCCTTTCTCCCTCCAGGACCTATCACAGATAGAAAAGCACCTGGGGTCCTTCTCCACCAACCCCTCTGCTTATGCCAAAGAATTCCACTACCTATCTCAGGCCTATGACTTAACTTAGCATGACATATTCATCATTATGGCCTCCACCCTCACCCCTTGGAGGCGGGAATGCATTAAGGTGGCTGCCCAACACTATGCCCACTTAGCTGACCCCACAGTCCCAGTTGGGGAAGACGCAATTCCTGACCATGACGCTAACTGGGACTATCAACCTGAAGCTCCAGGACACTGCTGGAGAGACATAATGATCCGATGCCTCCTACAGGGCATGGACACGGTGTCCAACAAAATTGTAAATTTTGACAAACTCCACGAGATAACCCAGGGAGCTGATGAAAATCCGGCCCTTTTTCTTAACTGCCTCCAGGAGGCCCCCACTCCATATACCCAATTAGACCCCACCTCCCCTGCTGGGGCAGCAATCCTGGCTGGACATTTTATATCTCAGTCCACACCAGATATTAGAGCTAAACTAAAAAAGGCCAAAGATGGCCCTCAAACCTCTATACAGGATCTGATGAAAATGGCATGTAAAGTTTTAATGCCAGAAAAGAGGCAGCAGAATCAACCCACCAAAAACACCTCCAACAAAAGGTGGCCCTCCAAACCCAA